GAAAGGGGACTTATGTGTTTATAATAACCGCCATTAACTGGCCGACTCTCCTTCAATAAAACAGCTCGGCACAATAAATGAAATCATTAAATCCAAAAGTTGGCTCGCACGATTATTTATTTAAACTGCCTCATATAATTCTGGTAATTTTCAAGAACAAATAAGAATTGTAATTTTAGACCATGGCCTCTCTCTTGGCAATTCTTTTGACTCAAATTGATTGAAGGTTGAAACGTGTAATGGCGAGCAAATGTGTTGATTTGGCCATAAATATTTGAATAGCAGGACAAACAATATTTGTTGAAAAGGCTCGCAATTTAAGTAGAACCCCAATGGGAGTTATGTGAATACTTGGTAAAAATTTGCTTCAAAAGCTGGTCAAAAGGAGAATGTCTTATGAGAAAATGTAAGTGGAGACATGCAACAGTAAAATGAGAGAGCATACCACCAATTTTAAAAGATGAACATTACAGATAAAGTCAGACTCAATACTCTACTGACTCATAGCCTGAGGAGAGTAAAAATCTTCCTCAGTTTTTGGTTGTGTTAAACCTAGAGGAAATAGTTCCTTTTGAAAGGGCGGAGGCCCTTTCCAACGGTGCCCAGTCTCAAGTCTGCACGCACACAAACCACTCTCTATAAGACTCCAGGTCTGCATACACAGGGTGAACTCCGGGACGTACTGATAGGTGGTAAAATAAAGTAATTCAATATTCTTTTATATGGTTTAGTTTATAATGGTATATTATACCACATAGTGCCTAGATGTAGTGAGTCACATGAGACCTGTCCCAACAAACAAGAATATTTAGGAAACATATGCACTGTAACTAAAATTGACCAAACAAGAAAAATTAGAAAAATAAAAATTTAAGCAGACAGCATTACAAAAACATCGACGGCTCATAGAATATGCTAAGAAATGGTCAGAATTGATCGTCACAAACTGTGAGCGCAGTACTAAAAATGAAAAGGCCACGAAGCGAGACGTACTGCGTTATTCAGAGCACACCAAAAACTTAAAACCACGTGATGTCC